AATTACATTAAAAGCATTTTTCCAAATTGCTCCATTCTTCCCTTAATAACTCGGGATGAGATTGGATGGGCCGCCACGCTCGCCAGGACAGGCCTACACCCCGGTGCCTCCGTCCCCTCGCTGGCGTCGGGGCGCCCCCTGCACCCCAGCCTGGGGTCCGCTCCGGAAGCCGAAGCCGGAAGTGTGTGCGGAGGGTGCCACGGAAGGGCAGCGTCGGAAAAGCTTTGCCCCCCCGCGAGGCGAGGCCTCTGATGGGCAGGAGTGGGGTGCAGAGCGGGGCGCCCTGGGGCCAGGGTCTCGCTCTCCGGGCCTCGTCCAGGAAGGCGGAACCAGAGATCTCCGCACGCCTCCCTGCACTGACGCGCACGCGCACTGCCCACTCTCCCTGGCGTCACCTCGTCACCCTCCATGTGCTGCTAATCATTCATCCCAGTACCGAAGCCGCCCAGTGGCTCTGCCTCTGCTCGGAATGCCCGGGCGTCTCCTCACTCCACGCACCACACCATTTCTCCATCTCATTTAGTAAAATCCATCAAGAATTATTCTTTCCAAGCCGAACCGAGCCTCGCTGTGACACTCGGGTCCGTAAATCCGTGTCTCCGCATGTGAAATGTCTCCACAAAGCCCACCCCAGACTCCCTGACACAATCAAATGCACTAACAATGACAAACCAGCGCGATCCTGTCATAAATCAAAATACAAGTCCCAACCACCTCGGAAATCACGGCGCCCCGAGGCCTGGCCAGCCCGGAGGACCAGGCTTCTCCTGCCTGGCTTGACAAGAGGGAGCTGGGAGAGGTGGGAGCTCCGCAGTCCGACAGCCACATGGCTTACAAGGCCCTTAGCCTCTCCGTGCCTCAACTTCCCAGTCCGTACAACGGCAGTGAGAACAGCCCGGCCTCTGCAGCCGGTGGCTCCCGGTGATCCGCCTTCTCTCCCAGGTTCTGACCCGTCGATACAAGCACAGGGGAATGGGAACGCGATTCTTCAGCCCTTGCTGCGTCGGCCCTGGCAGAGCCGTGGGGCCCAGGGCGTCCGAGAGGCCATGTGGGCTGCCCAGCCGCCGTGGGGAGTCCGCCCGACGCGGCTCCGCTGGCCGGGTTGTGATCCGCGGCCCTCGTCATCCCACGAGGGCAGCGAAACCGGCAGCGTTCACGTCTAGCCATGTTCGCTACAGTACCGACCACTCCGACAACGAAAGCAGTAAATGACTGGCAACAATGTTTGGGGAAGTTTTTGTTTGTTTGTTTGCTTGATTTTTGTGTTTGTTTTGTCTTTCCGGGGCTAGGAATAGAACCCACAGCCTTGCACATGTTGGGCAAGTGTTCAGCCACACAGCTGCAGCCCTAGGCCTGAGAGGCTTTACCAAGATGGGAAAATTCCCTCAACAACTGCAGGGGTGGCAGACAGTATGGGGCCCGACCGCATGCGCAGTGCTCTGCAGAAGCGTGGGAAGCCCCGGGGGCCTTCGGGAAGACGGGGTGGGGATTTACCACAACACCTGTTTTCTCCTCTATTCTTCATTTTTCTTCATCTTCAAAGGTTTTTACAGTAGGCATCTATTACATTTCCGATCAAAACTGAAAAGGTTTTTATAAATACTTTAAGGGAGCCACGTGTGATGGCGCACACCTGTGATCCCAGCACTCGGGAGGCTGAGGCAGGAGGATCATTGCGAGTTCAAGGCCAGCCTGGGCTTCATAGTGAGTTCAAGGCCAGGATGAACTACGTAGCGAGACCCTGTCTCACAAAATCAAAACAAATAAAGTACTTTCAGGAAACTTGTTATTGAAAAACCACCTCTAGAGCAAATCATTCCATAAAGCAAAGCGTTTTGTTGGGTTGAATAACGCTGCCTGTGTCAGAGGCGCAGTTGGCCCTATGGTCGGCTGTCCCCTCGGGCGTCCCCTCCGGACCTGGCACAGGGCCCGGGCAGGGCCAACGGGGGGGGGGGGGCATCGCTGCCTCTGCGTGTGGTGTGCAAACGTGCAAAGCCGGGCGAGTTCACTGGGAAGGAAAAGTGCGTGCAAAAGGGGCTGGGCCAGGGAGGAGTAGTGGGGCGGAATTATGAGTCATTGTTTTATTTTACTTAATTGCTCAGGCTGTAAATTTTTCAAAACTAATATAAGCATATTTTACAGCTCACAGAACATTTAGAACATATTAAAATAAATATCTTTCCACTGCAATGTGCCCAACTGAAATTTATGAATTCCAAGGCTAGTCTTCAGAAGAGGAGGAACTGGCACTCCGTGTTCTGAAGATTAATCAGGCGCTTTGTGTTGTTTTTCGCCTGGTCATAAGAGAAATCATCCCCCAGTTAGCGTTACCCTAATCGGGCTTCTGTGTTCTAGAAGCTCAGGGGGCCGCCGATGCGAAGGCCGACAGTGCCCTCCAGCGGCGCGAGGGAGCCGTGCAGGCAAACAATCCCTTCCCACAGCCTGGCAACAAAACCCAGAGGCCTTTTTAGTTCTTTAGCGATCACTTAACGTGTACAAAATTTTGTGCCAGGTGCTACGGAGGATAGAAAATGGGCCTGGCATGGTTCCCCTACTCGGGAAAGGCAGAGTCTAGCAGCTACTCCCGTGGCAAGGAGGCCCGACTTGGAGGTGGGAAGGGGGCAGACACCGGGTGCCAGCCACGCGCCTGGCAGCGTCCCGGGGAACCCACGTCCATTTGTTCACAAAAACCAAGCAAGGTGTGCGTAATTATCTCCGCTTCACAAAGACTGTATGTCTGTACACTGGAGGCTGAGGCAGGAGGGTCACCTTCAATTTGAGGACAGCCTGAACTACAGAGCTAGACCCTGTCTCAAAAAAGCATCCACAGGGCCAGGGATGTAGCTCAGTGGTTCCAGCGCCTGCCTCACAAGTGCAAGGTCCTGAGTTCGATCCCTGGTACCAAAAATAAATAAATAAATATAAACAGATGAACAGATAAAGAAAATGTGGGAATTATACACAATGGAGTACTATTGTGCCAAAAAAGGGATAAGCTTGAGTCATTTGTAAGAAAATGGGTACACCTTAAGACCAGAATGTTCAATGAAACAAATCACACCGACAAGCTTAAATAGCACATGGTTTCCTTATATGAGAGACCCAAAACCTAAAATAAAGAGTATAATAAAAAATTAGATAATCGGAGCTGGGTGTGGTGGCGCACACCTGTCATCCCAGCATTCCGGAGGCTGAGGCAGGAGGACTACTGTGAGTTTAAATCCAGCCTGTTCTACATAGTGAGTTCAGGGCCAGCCTGCACTGCAAAGAAAGACCTTGCCTCAGAAAACCAAAAAAGAAAAAAGAAAAAAAAATGGATAATTGGAAACAGGGAGATAGAGTTTTGCAAAAGAGAAGGGGACCAAGAGATGAAGGGAGGAGAAAAGGGGGGAAGGGGACGAGAGAAGAACCCAGATGCGTTAAGTACGTGCACCGACTCCCCACGAGGAGTGTGACCATCATGTGCTGCAGACGTGGACTAAGAAAAGTGGAATTAAAAGAAGAAAAAGCTGCACTGCAGGGTGGGCTCCTGGGCAGCCATCAGAGTCCAGCGTCCGAGATGCCCAGGACCAGAGACCCGAGTGGTGAGTGGGGACCACAGCAGCCCGGAGGGTCAGAGAGCCACCGGGCGCCCAACAGTGATGCCGCAGCCTGGGCTCGGCTCGGCTCCAGGCAGTGCTGGGCCTGGGCCCCCTCTCCCCAGAAAGGGCTCCTTTCACTGGCAGATCAAAGCCCCAGAGTGGGGGAGGGAGGCCGAGCTCTCCGGGGACCATCCTGGTGTGCACAGCACATAGGCCTCGAGGCTTTGATGGGGGACACGGGCTGCCAGTGCGAAGCCAGGTCCAGGAGCCACTCTACGAACACTGGTATCTGCCTCCCAGCTGGTTTCTCTGTTCTACAGAGCTGAGCTGTTCACACCGCCCTTTTATTGATTTTGCTAGCCAGTGTCACAAACCACAGGGAAACAGAACGCTGCACTCACTGCCTTTCCTTTGTTAAGTGTTTATTTTGAGACAGGGTCTCCCTAAGTTGCCCAGGTTGGGCTCAAACTTGCCATCCTCCTGCCTCAGCCTCCCAGAGTGCTGGGATCACAGGCATGCGCCACTGCACCTGCCTTCACACTGCATTTCTTGAAAACAAATGTCAGATTCCGCAGGTGTCGACTTCAATAGAACAGCCCTCCTACCCTTTTTCCAAAGACAGATTATCAAAACCTGCATGCTGAGTTCCCCTCGGCCTTGAAGGCAGTGCAGGAAGAACTACTGCATGATCAAAAGACTGGAAAGAACACTCGGGCAGGTGACCGCGTGGCAGGATGAGACTTTCTTCCCTTTTTCTAATATTCTTTTGCCTGTACTGGAGATGGAACCCTCCTGCCACAGGCAAGTGCAAAAGCTGCTTTGTATTAGACTGAGCCCAGGTCTTGGGAAGTGGCCCAGGCTGGCCTTGAACCTGCGGCCCTCCTGCCTCCGGAGGAGCTGGGATTAACCAGCGTGCAGGTGGGGCCCCAGTACACAGGACACTGCCCCAGGGTCCGGAGCCAAGCCCCAGCCCTTCAGCCCCTGGGGACCCTAAAGAAATATCAGGCACAGAAGGGGAATGAAAATGTATACAGCTGCGTGCGTACGGCAGCATGACATGAGTGTGAAGCTAGGAACTACTAACAGTGCATCAGGGAGGCAGCGCCACCAACTACGGGCTGATCCGATAAAATAACGGCATCATTGCCAGGTGTGGTGCTGCACACCCGTGAGCCCAGCACTTGGGAGGCTAAGGCAAGAGGGTCCCACAGGTTCAAGGCCAGCCTGAACTGCCTGTCTCAGAAACCAAAAGCAGTAACAATAACGCGAGTGTGAAGTAAGATTTTGTCCCCTGGCTGTACCACCATTTACTTAACGCGCTGGTGACCTGGACGAGCCAGCACCAGGACAGGGATGGGGCAGGGGAACCCTGTGGTGTCAGGTGCTCCCAGCAGGCACCGCCTGCGGCCGGGCCCCTACCTTGAAGGTCTTGTCCGTGGACGCAGACAGGAGCAGCTGGCTGCTGGCCAGCACCGGGCACCACTGGATCCCGTGGACAGGGCCCTTGTGGCCCCACAGGTGGCTGCGCACGGTCCTGGGCACGCGGGTCTCTCGGCGCGGGCTGCTCAGGTGCGGCCGGATGGCCTCGGACACGCCGGGGGCCAGGCAGAGCGGGGCCGGGGCGCTGGGAGCGGAGGCCCCCGCGGGCTCGGGGTCGGCCGGCTGCTGCCTCAGCCTCTTCGGGATGTAGGGGACCAGGCGGCCCTCGGCGCCCGGACTCTGAGGGCCTCGGCTTCCGCAGGCAGCTGCGGCCCGGGCCTGGGTCCCCGGGGGCGGCATGGGGAGCCCGAGGGGTCGGGGCTGCTTCCGGCGCGCGGCTGCCGGGACGGCTGGGGCGCAGCGGGCCCACGGGGGCGCGGGCCCGGCCGGCTCCTCCCCGGGCCACCGCAGCCGCGCGCTGGGGCCGCAGCCGGGCTCCCGGGCCCACAGCCGAGCCCGCGGGAGGCGGCACTGCCCGGCCCCCGCGCCCTGCGCCCCCTTGGGAGAGGCGTCGGGGACCCCCGGCCCGGCCAGCCCGGAAGCACCCGCCGCCCGCCCGGCAGCGCTCCCACCTCGGCCGGCCTCCTCGGCCTCGGAGTCGGAATCGTCGTAAGCCACCAGCGAGGCCATGCGGCGCCCGGCGTCCTGCCGTCCTCCAGGCGGGCTGGCTACCTGAGACCGAGCAAAACCGAGTCAGAAAGTGTGCGGGGCGGGCGGGTGCACACTGTAACCCCAGCACCGAGGCTGAGGCGGGTGGATCGCTATCCAAGGCCAGGCGGGGCAACTTAATGACACGTGGCCTCAAAATAGCTCAGTGGTAAAGTGCCCCTGTGCCTAATCACCAATACTGCAAAAAGAAAGAAAGAAAGAAAAAAAAAAAAGAAAAGAAAAATCATCCAAAATCCAACACTTCAAAACATAAAATTTTTTATAAACACAAAAAGACGAAGGGCTTTTTGCTAGGTGCAGTGCCTCATGCCTCTAATTCCAGCACTCTGGGAGTTGCCCAATTTAGCACTTTAGCCAGCTGCTAAATAAACAAATGAGTTTATGCCCAGCATGGTGCACATGCCTGCAATCCCTGCACTCAGGAGGCTGAGGCAGGAAGGTCACAGCAAGTATAAGGCCAGCCTGGGCTCCATAGCAAGACCCTATCTCAAGAAACAAAAATAAAATAAAATAAAATGGGCTGGGGATGTAGCTCAGTGCGAAGGCTCTGGATTCAATCCCCAGTACTCCCCAGTACTACCAGGTAGAGAGAGGACCTTTTTTCAAAAAGCTAAAAGAAAGAATTTTAAGTGTTTTGAACATAAAAAAAAATAAATGTTTGAGGAGACAGCTATGTTTACCCCGATTTAAACATTACATAATATCTTTAAAAATTAAATAATTTTTAAATACTTTCCTGTACACCAGACATAATTAGATGATGTAATTTTAAAAATGATTATAGAACACCTGAAAACAAATCTTCAAAAAATATGCAAGGCCGTGGTCATTTGGGCCAGGGATTTAGCTCAGTGGTTTCACCACCTGCTGCACAAGCGCAAGGACCCGAGTTCAATCCCCAGTACCAAAAAAAATGTAAGGCCTACATGAAGAAAATGAAAATTCTTATTAAAAAACATAGAAGATGTTCTAGCTAGCCAGGCATGGTAGTACACTCCTGTAATCCCAGCTACTCAAGAAAATAAAACAGGGGGCCGGGGATTTAGCTCAGTGGTTTCACCACCTGCTGTGCAAGCACAAGGACTTGAGTTCAATCCCCAGTACCCAAAAAAAACAAAACGGTAGGATTGCAAATTAGCCAAACAAATCAGCAAGATCCTGTCTCAAAATAAAATTTTCTTTTTTTTTTTTTTGGAACCAGGGATCAAAGTCTGGTCCCTGTGCTTTCAAGGCAGGCGGGGTTTGTTTTTTTTTTTTTTTGGAGACCAGGTTAACTCACTATGTAGGCTGGCCTTGAACTTGCAGCAATTCTCCTGTCTCAGCCTCCCAAGTGCTAGGAACACAGCCATGTGCCACCAAGCCTGCCTCACACCAGGCTTATTAAAATAAAAATTTGGGGGGCTGGGGATTTAGCTCAGTGGTTCCACCGCGTGCCTCCCAAGCACAAGGTCCGAGTTTGATCCCTGGTACCAAAAAACCCCCCAAAATAAAAATAATAAAAATAAAAATTTGGGGGCCAGGGATTTAGTTCATGCCTCGAAAGCACAAGGTTGTGAGTTCAATCCCCAGTACAACAAAAATTTAAATTAAAATTAAAAGATAAAAGGTGGGTTTTTTGGGGGGTTTGAGGCAGGGTCTCACTATATAGCCCAGGCTGGCCTTGAACGCATGGCAATCCTCCTGCCTCAGCCTCCCAAGTGCTGGGATTACAGGTGAGTTCCCCTATGCCTGGCTTAAAATAAAAATTTTTAAAGGGCTGAGGATGTAGCTTAGTGGTACAGCACCTGCCTGACAGGCCCAAGGCCTGGGTTCAATCTCCAGCACCAAAAGGAAGGAAGAGGATAAGGATGAGGAGACACAACATGTGGACAGTCATGGGACGTGAAGATGCCCACGGAAGGTCAGTTTGGGCAGTGTGACCACAACTTCAAACCCATTCCGTTCCGCTCCAACGCCTGTACTTTAGATCTCCCTCCCTAGCATGTCTGCCAGATGCAGAGGCCCAGAACGATGAATGTCTAAAGGGAGCCTGCGGCGCTGTTCCTTAGCAATAATGAGATGGAACACACACTCGCCAACATGCATCAGGTGAGGGCTGGAAACTGCAGTGGGTCGGGGTTAGCAACCAGTTCCGAGGAAGAAGAGCTTGGTCTAGAGTTGAATAGTATTTGAAAGGACCACACAAGGATGCAGGGCGCATCTGGCCAGCAGAGGGCGCAATGGAGCAGTTGGGTGAGCCCAGGCAGGACCAGTCTTAAACCCAAGGGAGCCCCAGAGAGCTGGGCTCCGGGTCACCCCGGGACAGCATCTGTCCTCAGCCTCCTGCAAGGATGCTTCACTCCCTCGCAGCCTAATCCACGCAAGGAACAGCGCACACAGCCAAAGCCAGTGTCTAAATAAAATTTCTGGATAGATAAGGAAGCAGCGAGACGGATCTTTTGCAAATGGGAAGAGGGCAAGAGACAAAGGAAGGGGGACAGAAGGGAGGGTAAGGGGATAAAAAGGATAAAGATGTGTTCCGTGCGTGTATTACGGACAGCTACGTTAGTTAAAATATTCTAGGCAGAGAGGCTGTCCGTGCGGAAGACTAGAACACATCGCAACTGTGGCTGGCGGTTGGTTGGTCATTGAAGGCCAGGCTCCGAGACAAAGAAAGCTGACTGCGCCCACACAGTCCCTCCTCCTAGGGATGAGCAGCAGCGGCTGATACTCCAAACAGGCCTCAGTCTCCTGGGCAGGGACCACGACCTCACCCATCCCTTCCGGGAAAGGTCCCTGACCCAGAAACCCCATTCTTCCATGCACCCTTGCTGCCTGACTTGCTTCCCCACTGCTTCCCCATTAATCAATGTCACCTAAGCAACAGTACTTGTAATCTTATTGGGTGACCCTAGTTTTGTCCCGCTTCATACCCGCCTCGTGATTTCCCATTGGATCAATACTACCTAAGCAACATACTTTCAATCTTATTAAAAGAACCCACCTGGCCTCGTGGTTTTGCTCCACAAAACTCCCTTAAAAGGCGGGGTCTGTGGGTGACCCACTTTCCAGGCCCCCTTCTGTCTCTCTTAGGCAGAAGCTATCTTTCTCTCAACAAATATTTGCTACTCTTAACCTCTGTTGTTCCTAGAATTCATTCTTGGATTTTAGAAAACATGAACTCGGCATGTCGGACATCTAGCAGGTTGAGTTATAATACTGCTCTTGTATTATTAGGAGGGCCACAGATCATACGTCCTCTATCACAGGGACCAACAACCCTCAAGGAATGTGATCATGACACACCTCAAACGTGTACTAATAAAATTAAAATTGAAGCCCAGCAAGGGAGTGCATGCCTGTCATCCAAGCACTGGGGAGGCTGAGACAGGAAGATCCCTGGGAGTTTGAGGCCAGCCTGGGCTACATAATGAGACCCTATGTCCAAAAAAATATTAAAAAGAGGGCTGGGGATGTAGCTCAGTGACACCGTGCCTGCCACACAAGCACAGGCAAGGTCCTGAGTTCAATCCCTAGTACAGGAAAAAAAATTAAAAAGAAAAAACCTCTATAGCCAGCCAGCCTCACAAGGAGCCACAGCAGCACACAGGCTCCTCACAAATTGATGGAGCTACAGCGCCCATGACCTGACCTCGCTGATCCCCACTCGGCTGAGTCCTGCTCCTTTCTGCCAAAGGGACCCATCCCCCGGTGTTTCCACACAGGCAGGACAGAGGGTTCACACTACCCCACGACCCATGGCCTGAGTGGAGACACAGGCTGTGTGGCCCGTTAGCTCCATTCCCTAACAAGGGCCAGAGCCCGGGCTGAGAGAGAGGGCAGCAGGGTTTCTGACATACTCGGCTCCCCATACATTTTGTTACTCACTCAACAAACACTGCACTCACAGTAGGTTTAAGGAACATGCAGGGAGCAAGAAGCTGATGCCCTGGGCCCACCTCACAAGCCCTGGGGAAGCACGGGCCTCAGGCGGAGGGAAGCAAAAGGAGAAAAGCGAAGGGGAGGACCCCACACCGGCTGGGCCTGGAGGTATAGTTCAGTAGGGAGGCTGAGGCAGGCAGGGCCCAGAGAGAAGACATCTGGGCAGTGCCCAGGGGAGGGAGGAGGGGCTGGAGACTGAACCAGCCCAGGGGTGAAAGAGGAAAACACAGAACTGGAGAAGTTCTGACCCGGACAGCAGTAACTTAGGATGGGCTTAGTGCGTTCTGTTTCCTAAGATGAAAGAAAGAAAATTTTTTCACGCCAAAAGGACAGTGATTGAACCAAGAAAGAAAGCGGGAGTGGAGCTGCACACTGGTGATCCCAGTGCTTGGGAGGCTGAGGCAGGAGGATCGCAGGGCTTCGTGGCCAGCCTGACCTACAGAGCGAGACCTTGTCTCGAAAGAAAAGATAAATAAACCAAAGGGAGAAACCCAGGTGGGAACCAAAAGAAAAAGATATAGAAAGATTTGGGGACTTAAATCTGGTGGGTGGAGGGCCAGGGGATAAAAAAGGAATGGGATGTTCACATTTGACAAACATATCCTGATCACCTACTCTGTGTCAAGCCCTACGCTGGGTCAGATGTGGGCGGAAATTAAAGCAGGCATCCTGCTCCAAAGGCCACAGGCTGATGAAAGGTACAAGCAAGATACACCAGCGATGGGTTTTGAAGGATGAATAGGAGTTAGCGCGCTGTCAACAGTAAGCGAGAAGGGTGTTACAGAGCACGGCGCTCTCGGAGGAACGAAAGGGAAAGGGGAGGAGGCGATCGGCGGTGAGGACTCGAGTCCAGAGAGCGCTCGGGCGCTGCCCGGTCCGTCTCCCTCCCGCCCGGGGCCCGCCGCTCACCACACGCACCGGAAGCGCTCGGTAAACTCCCGGAGCCGGACGGGGCCGAACCCCACCGCCCAGTCGCGTTCCGCCGCGACGCGGGGACTGCCAGCCAATCGGCGACGGGCTCAGCCCCGCCCCTGAGCGAACAGCCAATGACGGAGTGCTACGACCGGAAGTTGTTCCGGCCGGACAGCGTTTCCAAGGACGCCCTGGAGGCGACCCGTAGCAGAGCAGGCGGCGCCGACTGGCCCGGCAGGGCCGGGTAAGTGAGGCCGGGAGGGACACTGAGGCAGCGCGCGGGGACCCGGGGTCTGTGCACGCCGGCGTCCGGAGCGCCCTTCCCCGCCGCCCTCCACCACCGAAGGGCGGTGCTTGGGCCCCGCGGTCGGTGAGGAGGCTGCCCTGCGCCCGGCTCACGGACGCGGGCGCCAGGGGGGCAGAGACGGCGGAGAAGCCTGGGAGTCGCGCCGGCTTCGGAGCAGGAAGATCCCCGGGCTGGGGCCGAACCCAGGGCCTGCGCCTGTGAGTCCGAGGTCGGGCGGCGGCGCTGCATCGCCTCGGGCTCAGCCCGGGGCCGCTTCCCCTCGGCCTTCTCTGCCCCCACCCCCCTGTACGTCACCCAGGGACCGATGCCGAGGGTGGGGCGGAAGGGACAGGGTGGGAAGAGCGCGCGGCTGATGCAATGAGCGAGCACTCGGTTCTCCCGGGGGCTTCTCGGCCCCCACCCGCCCCTGATTGGACGGGCGCGTCGAAGAGGCTGGTTCGGAGGCCGAGGTGCCGAGGAGAATTGGCGTGATTTCTCCGCAATCCTTAATGCACGTGGCCGCGGGGAAGGAGGGTCCAGAGCCCGGGGTGTTTATGAGAATCTGGCTGATTTCTGAGAAACCCAAAGTGCCCACAGCTGAAGGGGTGGAGTAAGCAGGAGAAACAATATAGCCTTCTGAAAAGGAAACCGAAAGAAAGAAGGGAGGAGTATTAAAGACTCCTCACTGAGGAGCTGCACCAGGGATTCTCAGCTGTCGGGCTGCCCAGACCACCGGTTCCGCCTGCACGTTCGCACCGCCTGGGTACGTATTGCCCTCTTTGCCAGGCTCCCAGCTTGTTGCTAGCTGTTGGGAGTGTTTCTGTGAGCTTTCATCAGGGTGCTGCAAACCTCAGTGCGGAGGGGAAGGGCATTGTCTCTCGGGATTAGAATGCTGTGCACTTTATTTTATCCCAAAGTTCAGCTGATTCCCTACTTCTGTAGGGAACAGAGGGAGCGCTGAGCAGTTGCCTGCTTGGATTCGCGGCTTCCCTTTCAGCACCTTCAGATCAGTGGTATTTTTCACTGATGGGGCCTCCTCGAATGGTCAGTATCTGAACACGTGAGCATGGTTATTGTGATGTGATGCCCATGAACTTGTGTCTGCCTTCATGTAAATTAACGTCTCCTTTGCCTTCAAGATAATGTTCATTTTATTATTTGGAGGGGACAATGCCCTTTCCTCTTAGTGTTCAAAGGGAAGCAGAACATAATCTGTTCCGAGATCCGGGGTTTGATGAACCAGCTGCTCTGGACAGGTCATCTTGTCCTTGGGAACTCGCCAGCCTGGAGCCATCCTAGTGGTTTTCCAGGCCTTGGAGCTTTCCTGGGGCAGCTGCTTTTGAGGGGCCATCTGAACGCCACCCTTCCTTCAGTCCTCCCTTCCATTTCTTCAACCCGGTACTTCGTGCCAGGCATGCCTGGCCAGAGCCTTGGGCAGCACAAGGCTTAAGTTCCTGAAAAGGAAAATTGGGGGTTTAAGAGCTTTTGTAGCTTTTTGTTGAAGATCTGGCTCTGGCTGGGCGGGCTATGCAGAGGCACTTTTACCTTCCACTCCTAATACTTCGCTTAGAGGAAGTCATAGGTAAGTTCACGGCGCTGACTGCATTCCCTTCCTCCAGAGTGGAGTTTTAGCGAGAACAGGAAAAGTAGACTGTCCTTAACAGACAATCAGCTCCCTATTTGGAGTTCAGGTGGTAAACACTTGATAAATACTCCTTGCCTTTCTAGCATCTCAGACCCCTTTGAAAAGATGAGGGCGCCTCTCTACTCCCATTAAAACTGTGCACACACCAATACACATCCGTGCAAACTTTGGTGTAGGTTCAGGGGACTGTGAACTCCAGGCTGAAAACCTCTAAAATAAACTTAATCCTCACAGTTAACTAACAAGCTGGGCACGGTGGTGCACACCTGTAATTGCAGTACTGTGCGAGGCTGAGGCAGGAGGACTGTAACTTCGATCCCAGCCTGGGCAACTTAGTAAGACTGTCTGAACATTTTTTAAAGGTGGGGTGGGGGAGGGTAGCCCGGTGCAAAGATCCTGAGTTCATTCTGGGTACCACAAAAATAATAATAATAAATGGAAGTTAGCTAACAAAGGAGGAGGATGTTGATTAGATCTGGCTGGGGCTGGGAGACTCACAAGAAACGGTAAATAGCTGAATGGAGGAAATGTGGAAGGCGTGCTGTTCTCCTGGCTCCTGCTCCCGAGTACTAAGTGCTCCCTCAAGAAGTTGCATCCCCAGGCACACAGTTCAAGTGTGGGCAGCCCCATGAGTGAGTGCATGTCTAGTGATCTTGAGACCAGGGAGGCCTTATCTCTCTTCCCTCCGGCTGATTCAGCCACTGTCTGAGACTGATGATACCTGTGTCCCCCATGACGTGGGCCTGAATGCAGCCGATCCCTTACACCAGAGAAAGTTTCCGGCTCTGTTGCAACAGAGGCAGAGTGCCTGCTCCAAGGTAATTCTGACCTCTGCTTGATTTGGGTTCTACTCAGAGGCCACTGCCCACTGCTGCCAGGCAGAGTAACCCCTTTTTGGAAGGTGGGGAAAGCCAAAGGCAAGATCAGATGGCTCACCAGAATGTGGGAAGATGTTAGCAAGGTTGGAGAAGCCAGGCTAGGGATATCAGGCCTCAAGGAGACACTGGAAGGCCTGGCTCTCCTGGAATCCTGGCAGTCTCGGTGCAGTGTCCGGATGTTAAATGAGAGACCCCCTAAAGCCCAGACAGGGATCATCCTTCAGCTAGAACAAGCACTTGTACACATCCTGTGAGAAGACAGCCTGTGAAAGAAGTTGAACTGAACGATTTGTGAGATTCGTCCATTCAGTAAATGTTAATGGTCTGAATAGTGTACCAGGTGCCAGAAATCCACTGGATAAACCTGGTAGTCTACTAAGAGGCAGTGTAAGTGCTTTAATCAAGTTGACGGCTGTGCTCAGGGATCAATGGCTGGAGTGACTACCTTCATTTGCCCCGGCTGCACAGGGTTCAGGAAAGACAGGGAAAAGCAGAAGTCTGAAGTGGAGAGATTGGCAGCAGTACTCTGGGAGGAAAAGCAGTTGGTGCAGCCAGGAGGAGCAGCTGCAAATCTGAGAGCTGTGATGGGGGAGAACCACAGCCTGGACTTCCCTAAGCCATCAGCTCTTGGTCACCAGAGATGGACACTCACCCCAGACCGAGGAGGTGGGACCTGGGACCATGTAGTGAGGTGTTGGACCATTTGTATCTAAAAATAATATTCTGACCTTTCTCTATTGCGGCTCACTGGTTCATCTGTGCTGCAGGGGGTCAGGTCGGGTTGGGGTCAGGCTTCAGACGTCCCTCCCTGGCCCCAGCAGAAGTTACTTCCGCATTCCATCCCTCTCTGTTCCAGCCCATTCTTCAACTTCCCTTTCTGGGAATTGACGGGTTTCTCAGAAACTGGCAGCTGTCCACCTGGTTGCACTATGAGTGATTTATGTGACGATTGCTTTCATTAAAATTCACACACCCTTTCAGCAATATTTACCAAGTGGATGAATAGAAACAAATTGCACCCAGATTCCTGCGTCTGCTTCCTAGAGTTCCCCGTTTGAGGACGGTGATTTCGAGTGCAGGCTTCTCTCCCAGCTCCGCCACTCCCTACTTGCCATGTCGTCCAGGTTTTTAGCCCCTCTATTCCTCATCTGTGAAGCATAGGCCACAGACCTCACCCAGGGTTCCTCGGGCAGGGCTCAGGTGATGCTTGGAACGGCAGCAGGACCAAAGCTGCTCGGCATGAGCTGCTGTCACCTCTGCCCCTGTCCCTCCTCTTCCTCCATCCCAGTGCAGTGAGTCAGGTGAAGCTGGGTCCCTCAGCCCCAGGAACCTGGTGTGACAACAATACACGCAGTGGTTTACACCCCACTTCACAGCTGACAGAGGCCTCATCCTCCTAACAGCCCTGGGGGACCTGAAAGGGTTCCTGGTCCCCAGCTAATGGAGGAGGAAGTGAAGCTGAGGAAGAGCGAGTGACAGGCCCAAGAAGAGGTCAGATCTCAGCCAGTCTTGTGCTTCACTTCACTCCAGATTAGGAGATGAAATAATGACCATCAGAATGCACAGGCAGCCAGGCGTGCCTTCCGAGGCACTCTGGAGGCTGAGGCAGGAGGATCACAAGTTGGACAACTTACTAATTTAGTGAGACCCTTCTCAAGATAAAAAATAAAGGCCTGAGGTGCAGCTCATCTGAAGGCCCTGGGTTCAATTCTCAAAACTGCGAAGAAAAGAGACACAACCATAACTTCAAAGTTTTACAGACTTGGACGAGGCCCTGTGCCCCAGGTCTCCAAAGGCTGAGAACCGAGCAGCTGGCTCTCGGGAGTGTTCACCGAGGTTCACTGGCCGTTCCTTTGAAGCCCTGGGCCCTGAGATAAAGAGCCAGCAGCAGTTTGCCAAGTGTCTCTAGCTGCTATGAAGCTGGGTTTGTTCCAGCCCCGGGGAGTCTGGGGTGTTTGCCTGCGGCTTGGTCCTCACCGGGTCCCTCCCGAGCGGATCCAGTGCTAGCAACTCCAGCTCTGTTCTCACCCTCTTTCTTCTCCACAGCCCCAGGTTTCTGCTTGTATTGTATCTGTATCAGTGTTGTCTTACCCACTTCTTGTATTATAGCTCACCTCACAACCTGCACAGGAAAGGACTAGAACAGCTGCTGTGGTCCTGAATCTCTCTCCCCTTCCTCACTCTCATCTGCAGTTTTGTCCTGACTACGGAGGAAGTCCTCGGACCTCAGGATGGCGGATGTGCCCAATGGCCAGCCCTCTGATGCTCCCCTGGAGCTGTACAACAGCATCCTTGCCCAAAGCGAGCACGTGCGCTGCCTCAAGGCTTCAAAGGCGTCAAAAGTAGGTGACTTGGCTGGGTTCTCTTTCCTGTACCCATAGCACTGCCCTCCGTGGGTGAGGTGTTTTGATTATAATTATAAATTGCCAACATTCTGGTGCCTGTAGTCTAGAGTTGGTGGTTCTAAAAGCCTTTGAGACTTTTAATCCTTCCTCATACCCAGAGGGATTGAGCCCAGGGGCTAAATTCAGGGAAACCCAAGGCCTTTTGGGGAGGCAGCGGGGGGTAGTGGCCCATGCCTGTGATCCCAGCACTCAGGGGGCTGAGGCAGGGGGGTCATCATGAGTTCCAGGCCAACATGGACTACATAGTGAGTTCAAGGCCAGCCTGAGCTACATAGCAGGACCCTATCTCTGAAAAATAAAAAGGACCGGTGTGATGCTTGCATGTAACATACACACGTCCAGGTTTTGGTTTTGTCCTGTTCTGTTTTAAACCTGAGGTGAATTCACTCCAGGATACGGACCCCACAGGTGTGAAGGGCCAGCGGCACCCTGGCCCTTCCGCCCATCTTTCCCCACTTCCTGTTCCCCAACACAAGTGTGCTCCGGTATTGTAGCTGACCCTTTGCTGCATGCCTTTCCGATCACTAAATGCTGTGCTTATCCCCCATGTTGCTTTTGCAGTTAAGGCCTTCCACTGTAGAGATGAGGACCTGTGGTTTCTCAAACCCTCCCTGGGGCCCCTGCATTCCAAGGGTGGTTAGGTCATTATTGGTGCTAACATTGTCATGACTGTGTAAATAGCTGGACCAGTAGCACAAGATGCTTGCTTCTCCTTTCCTGCTGTCTTTTGTTTTCTCTGAAGTTAATATTCATCTTAATTTCTGTGTGCTTGGCTTTTGTGTACCTGAATGATAGTGTGCAGTCATGTGCCATGCAGCAGCGGATGGGCCCGACGGGTTGCATGTGCGGCTGTGGTCCCTCAGACCGCAGCAGAGCTGGACATCCCTGTCGCACATGGCATCTTGGCCTCTGCCACCTGGTAGGGTAGTGCCTTACCCACACGTTAGTGGTAATGCTGATGCAGACAGGTACTGTGCTGCTGCCAGTCGAACAGAAGTACAGTGAGTGCATAATGCTCTATCCTGGTAAATAAGTCACTGTGTTACTGGCTTACGTTTTTGTTTCTCTTTTTGTTTTTGTCCTTTCTGATGCTGGGGATAAAACCCAGGCTTGTTACACGCTAACCAAGCACTCTACCATTGAGCCTCCCCCTAGCCCTGGTTGTGTATTTACTCCAGTAGACTTTTTATCATTATTTTAGAATTACTCCTACCTATTAAGAAAAAGAGTTAGGCCGGGTGTGGTGGCGCATGCCTGTAATCCCAGCACTCGGGAGGCAGAGGCAGGAGGATTACTGTCAGTTCAAGGCCAGCGTGAGCTACATAGTGAGTTCAGGGCCAGCCTGAACTACAAAGTGAGACCCTGCCTCAAAAAAACAAAGATAGATAGATAGATAGATAGAAAGGAAGAAAGAAAAAGAGTTTAGAGAATACAACCCACCGTGTGCTGCCGCCGTAGCCTCACCCATCTCATGTTGACCTCCTGTCTTGCTTGCATCCTGTGGCCACATCCAGTGAGGGACCTGTGCCATGTAAGTGTGCTGAGTGTACTGCATGGGGTTTCACAGCTACAGAGTACCCAGTGACGCGTCTCTCGGGATGTGTCCCCACCACTCAGCACGTGGCTGTCTGCAGGCTCCCCCAACACATCAGCCCTCTGGCAAGTGGCCTGCTGGGCAGTCCTGCGAGCCAGTTCCCAGCACGTCTGCCTGTTGGTCCCCACCTCCTGATCCTGAGTCTCGCTCCTCTTTGCTCTGTGCTGCAGGGCAAAGCAAATCTCCCAGTGGCTTCTGAAAAAAAATGGGTGCAAAGGAAATAATTTCTGAGAGCTTGCCTGTTTGAAACCGTACTGTATTGCCTGGTGCCTGCTCCTCCCCAGGCTGGTACAGGGAGAGCTCTCAGGGAGTGAGTGTCCCTGTGGGCCCAAGGCTGGGCAGCCGGGGCCAGCCCTGCTCTGCTCTGCTCCAGGGTCTCCATTCCCCAGGCTCAGGGCTCTGTGCTCCTGGAAAACCGGAAGCTCCCAACCTGTAACTCTCAGAAGTCCTCCTGCTTCCCTTGATCAAACTCAGGACCTTGTGCTTGCAAGGCAGGCCGTGGAACCACTGAGCTACATCCCGGCCCTCTTCCTCAACTTCTATCTTCATTTCTCCTACCATTTTTACCTCTCAAGCACTCGCTTGACCTCTAATGCGCCTTTCCCATAAACCTCTGGTCTGCTACCCCTCGTCTCCTCAGTCGGAATGGTCTTGCTGGTCTCTGATTTATACACAGATGCCATTTAATTGCACGGCCTCCTCTCCTTAACAGAGGTCTCATGTGCGTTGGCTGCACTGTCAGCTGTCGGTCACTCCACACCTGGGGACCTTGTCACTCGGAGCTCCATCTCCTGGACAGCCATTGGCCAGCTCACTCTGGATGGGGAATTTTCATTGCCTGAGTCGGAGTCTCCCAAGAAGGTCCTTGCGGTCTGCAGACAGGGTGTGCGCTGCTTCCCAAACAGCACAGCTTGGGGGGCTGGTGTGGAGCCTCGATGCCCCCTCCTCCTGTGCTCCCTGCCACCCGTGCACAGCACCCTGAGTGCAGGGCCCCCCCACAGCCCTTGGATAGGGAGGGAGGGATCCTAACGGGGCCACTTCCTCTGCACCCCAGCCCCCAGGCGCTGCTCCTGAGCCTTGGGGTGCCCGATGCGTAGGTGAGGTCACTGCCTGCTTTTACTCAGTGTCTTGGGATTCCGGTCACCCATCGGGTTACCAGCTTCTGGGTCTCCTGACTGTCATCCTCTTCCTGATTCCTCTGTCCTTGTGGGATTGTGCCTTTTTTAAGGATCTCTCTAGTATTGCTGAAGTAGGTTTCAGGAGCTTGGTCAGTCTGGTCCTTGTTTTGTTGGGGTTGGTTTTTTGTTTTGTTTTTTGAGACAAGGTCTCATCACATAGTTCAGGCAGGCTTTGAACTCACTGTGTAGCCCAGGCTGGCCTCAAACTCTGGTGATGTTCCTGCCTCAGGCTTCCAAGTGCTGGGATTACAGATATGCACCATCACTCCCAGCCTACACTAAGTTGTTTTAAAACAAAAATTTTTGCTTTGTTTTGTTTCATTTGAGACTGGGTCTCACTATGTAGTTCAGGCTGGCCTCAAATTCTGTGGAGATCCTCCTGTCTCAGCCTCCAGAGTGCTGAGATTGCAGGTAGCTGAGCATGGTGCTCCTCCCACCTGCTCAGGAGGCTGAGACAGGAAGACTGAAAATTCAAGGCTAGACTGGACAACTGATAAGACCCTATCTCAAAAAATAACAACAGGGCTGGGGATTTATCTCAGTGGTTCCAGTGCCTGCCTCACCAGCTCAAGGTCCCAAGTTCATCCCCAGTACCAAAAAATAATAGTAACAACAACAATAATAATAATGAAAGGGCTGGAGATGTGACTTAATTGGAAGGCCCTAAGAACTCACTGCATGGCCCAGGCTGTGGCAGTCCTCCTGTCTCAGCCTCCCAGAGTGCTGGAATTACAGTGTGTGCCACTGTACCCAACTTGATCATTTATCTGAGCCCATTTGGGGGATTAATGGTGGCATTTTTTTGTCCATCTAACAGTAAACTTGACTAACATACAGTAAATGTCTTTAGTTAGTAATTCATAGCGACTACACTTATTATGGTCATTAGTTTACTCAACAGGAATTTTTTTGTTTTTGAGGGAAAGCTGGAAGGCTTTATTATCAGCAGATCTACCCCATGTAATGGCAAGGGGTCCTCCCCAGGCTGCCTGCTTTGTCCCTGCAGGCCAGGGTGGACAGGGCACTCACAAGTCCCCTTCCTGTGCTAGAGAGCACCCATGTCCTCCTGCTGCCACCAAACCAACCATCGGGGCGGTCCAGGGATAGAGCCTCCGTGGCTCTCAAGCAGCAGGCGCTTGCTTCTTAGAGTGTGTCCTTCCGTGAGAGAGTGTCTGCAACCTGACCGGAACTGCAGACGTCGGTCTGTACCCAACCTCAAAATGTGTTTTTAGTTGATTGAAGCTCCTGATGTTTATTTAGAGACTCACTGTCTCTGAGACCCCGACCACCTAGGGTCTGCACTTTCGCGACCGTGGCCCTGCGTCTGAGGCCACATGGGTTAGAATCTGGGGGTGCCGAGGGAGGCAGTGGCAGAGGGCGTGCACAGTTTGAATAAGCCCAGAGAGGACGTGGGCTGAGCCAGGCGTGGTGGCACACACCTCAGTCTCAGTATCTAGGGGTCTGGGGCCGGAGGATCATTAAGGTCAAGCCCAGTCTAGGCAACTTTGTGACTTACCCAGACACTATTGAAAATGTGAGGAGGGTGGAGATAGAGTCCAGGCCCTGGGTTCACTCCCCAGTACTAGCGAAAAAAAAAAAACAAGACACTGCCCCGTATAGGGTAGGACACCAGTCACCCAGAGGTGTGTGGCGGCCCGGCAGGCAGCTCCCTGTGGCCAGCACCCCCTGGCCGGCCGGCCCAGCAGCTCTGGGAAGCGTGCTGGCCCCACACCCTCACTCTGGCTCCTGCCCCCCCCCCCCCCCAGAGGTGCTGCCTGGGCTCCACCTATGGTAACAGCACAGTCTGAAGTCTCAGCTTTTATATATTCCATTCCGGGGTCCTGGTTGTGTTAGACTGAAACCAAGGACACAGACTGGGTGAGGGTGTTCATGCTCCAGCCACACCCCAGGCCACAGCCAGTCCCCAGCCAGGCTGTGGGTTGGACGCTTGACCCTTCCAGAGCCTCCTAGATTCGAGCAGAAGGAGAGCACACAGTAGGAACTGTCCACACAGCACCTGGCCACAGGGTCCTGACCACAGCGCACTGCAGAGGACACTTGCTAAACATTTGTTTTCTGCAGACTAGAGCTCGATGAGAACCACTTACCCGTCTCCCCGGCAAACACTATCGAACATATGCGTTGTATCCACAAGTCAACTGTGGACTCCACTAAGCACACTCGTTTTTCGGACAGATTCCAGACAGCTTTGTAGCTTGAAGCACTGACCGCCCCAGCACCGCAGTCCCTGTGGCCCAGCCGCCGTGCCCAGTAGGACCACTCCCTCCAAATGGGGCCGGGCTGTGGCGGCCTCCCTGGGGAGCACAGCCTGTCCTATGTTCCCTGACCAAGCAGGCAGGGCTGTGCCTGTGATCCAACCAGCTAGGCCAGTGATGGCCCAGAGCTACAGGGCACAGTGTGGCTGGCGGGCTTAACTGGGCTGCTGTTCCAAATCCCAGGCTCAGGTGGCCAACAGAAGGGAGGCTCTCATAGGTCTTCGAGATGCCAAGGGACACAGTCTGCATTTGTCTTTCTCTGACTTTACAACAACAGTTGTGCCAACACTTGCAATAGCTTGGTAAGGCTCCAAAAGTGTAGTGGTGTAACTGCTTCCCAGAAGCCCTCCCGAGAGCCTACATATTTTCCCTGGCTTTATTGATTTTCCTGACATTTGTTTTGAGTCACCATCGATGTCCTTGGTGGCTTCGTGGTTGAAGTTTTGTAAATATTCATCCCAACCTGGGTGGGACCAGAAAACAAGCCCTTGGTAGAGGTCGGCGACTCCATTAAAGGAGCTGTCCCGAATGTTCCCTGGGATCCATGGTGTTTGGGAAATCTTCAGCACATTAGCCTCGTCATCAACGGCAGTGTGCCCTGTATCGCTCTTGCCATCCCATCGAGCTTGTGGAAGTAATTCACAGCACTGGGAAAGAGATCAAAGTAAAATACGTTTGAGCCCACGGCTTCCTGCATGGCCAAGGGCAGCAGGGCCTGCCTCGAAGGGCTGTCCCGGGGCTGGAGATGGTCGTGGCGTGAAGGCGCTCGGCACCGTGCCGGCCAGTCAGGAGCATGAGCTACTACTCCTATTTCTTCCTTCAGCTGTATTTCTTTTCTTCAGGATGAAATTGACTCTGCAGTGCAAAAGCTGTTATCATTAAAAACGAGCTACAAAGCCATCGTGGGGGAGGAGTCCAAGCCTGGCTGCTTCCCGGAGAACCCTGCACCTGGGAGTAAGAGTGGCCCTGAGGCCACCAAAGGCAGTGAGGACTTTGTGGACCCATGGACAGTACGGACGAGCAGCGCGAAGGGCATTGACTACGACAAGCTCATAGGTAACCCTCAGCCTCCTCCCTGGCGCGGCCTCAGCCTGTGGAGGCAGCGCCCTTGAGTTGATTCCATCGAAGTTTGCGTGTGTGTGTGTGTGTTTGCAAGTATCTTCTTTTCTTTTAAACATATTTAAAATTTTATTTTATTGATGCCTAGTTGTGCACTTTGGTGAGATACAGTGTGATCGTCCTGCCATAGGTGCCATTATACCCGCTGTAATGCCCTAGTTGGGTAATTAGCATATTCACCGCCTCCAGCAGTGTCGTCTTCTTGGTTTTTGGTTTTTGGTTTTTTTGGTAAGGGGGATCGAACTCGGGACCTTGCACTTGTGAGGCAGGCGGCACTGAGCTGAATCCCCGGCCCCCATTTCTTTGTGATGACAGCATTCAAAGTCCTGTCTTCCAGCTGTTGTGAAGAATGCAGTACATTGCTGTCAGCGGTGTTCCACCCTTTAACAGAGCCCAGCCTCGGTTCCCCCTCCTCCTCTCAGCTCTGCTCACCGCTCTTCTGGTCCCTTGCTCCACAAGGTGACTTCTTTATAGCCCGTGGGCCTCTGGGCCTCTGCCCTGCTGTGCCTGCTTGTCCACCTTGCCCTTGAGGTTTCTTTATGTCAGTGCAGATGACAGGATCCCTCGCTTCCTGCTGAGTAGCGTCCATTACATCTCGTTTATCTGTTAACTCCGTGGACACATGGCCTGATTGATGTCTTGGTTACTGTGTCCGTACACAGTAAACAGAAACCCTGGTCTCTGATTTCTTCTGGTTTTGGATGCATATGATATGTTAAAATTTTGAATTAAATATAATGAAGCTGCAACAACAAGAGGAAAACAGATCTTAAAATCCTTTGCACGTTATATTCCCAAAGGATTATTTTAAAATAAAGTAACAATGTAAAACATTTCAAAATGATCTCTAACAGACAGCTTCACAGGTTTCCCTTCTGTGAGCAGTTCCGAACTTGGGAAACATCTAGGGCGATAGGCATCTTTACAGTCATTTGGCGGTCAGGGTTCAGTCCCAGGCTACTTAAGTTTCCCCTCCAGTGCCATTCATCACGGAGCCTGAGAAGGATGACAAGGGCTTGCTGTCACACTTCCAGGGTCTCCCTGCCCACCCAGCAGAGAAATGGTCACTCTGAGATCATGGATCTCATCAAAGAAGAAACGACTGGAATATGTTTGCCTAAGTCAAAGCCTTTTCCATTATCTAAGTATAGACAAGAAGGGAAAATTCACTTGAGGGCTGACATTAATTCAGGTCAACAGTTAAGGAACGTGGACAATCATGCTGTCAGTGAGTACAAGTTAAACCGTTATAAAATTCTGTGTGGGGCTGGGGATTTAGCTCAATGGTTCCTCCACCTGACTCACAAGTGCAAGGTCCCAAGTTTAATCCCCAGTACCCAAAAAAAAAAAATTCTGTGTGTGCATGTGGGTGTGTAAAGTGCTACTAGCTAGGTGTGTGCGCATCAGAGCCAAGCTCCAGCAGCAGCCTGTGCTGCTGGTTGTGACCCTAGCAGTTGTTACCGCACACAGGACCTTTACCCTGGGTTGCAAGAAGGGACTGCACGGGGGGCCCTAAAGAGATCTGATCGCCTGTGGACATGCGTTTTTCCCTTGGTGCAGTGATATCTGGTCACTAAGACTCCTACCTCCTGAGAAGGTCATCTCTTCTGTTTTCCAGTTCAGTTTGGCAGCAGTAAAATTGACAAGGAGCTGATAAACCGGATAGAGAGAGCCACCGGGCAAAGACCACACCGCTTCCTGCGCCGAGGCATCTTCTTCTCACACAGGTCAGGGCCCTCTGTTTCCTCCTGGGGTCTCAAAATCATGAAGCAGCTCTTGTCTTTCACTTCCTTTATCTGGGAGAGGCAGGACCCAGCCCCAGGAAGACTGGAGGGGGAACTCACTGGGTCATGCTTGTCCCCCCACTCAGGCCCTTAGCTCATTTATAAATTGCCCATCTCACAAGGTGGAGGTCAAGGTCATAGCCCATGAGCTTCATGCCAAATTATACACTGTAAGTTTTAAAAGGTCCTAAAACAGAAAAGATTGATACGTCCAAGTTGAACATTTCCCACACAATAAACAGCAAGCTTCCTGAAATCATGTACTGACTTCCGCCCATTGTACCAGCCCACTGGTGAATGATCCAAACAGAAAGTAACATTAGGGTACATAGAACAGAGGATTCCTGCCTCAGACCATAAATTCTGTGCTGATAACATCAAGATTCCAGAAGGGCTTCTGCTTCACCAAGACTGCTGGTGTTGGGACGGGCCCACCTTCCAGGCTGTGTCGGCGGGGTTCCTGGTCTGAGGTCAGAGTGTTCTGCCCTGCTTGTGCTGGCGGTCACAGGGGAATGCCCAGGACAGGACTCCACGCTCTCCCTGAGTGTTGCACCTCTGACCAGCAGAGAGATCCAGGCCCTGTTAGCCAACTTAGTCTTCCCTTGAAATTGAATTCATAGGAAGCTCGCCTTTTGAAATGTATACAATTCACTGGCTTTTGGTATATTGAGAAAGTTGTGCAACCATGACAACTGTCTCATTCCAGAGCATTTTGATTTTTTTTTATTATTAAATTCTTTTATTGGTACATTGTAGGTATACAACACATTTACATTTCTCATTGGGAATTGTACCTTTACATGATGTGTCTTGGTTCTTATTTTTTCCCCATTCCTAGCCCTCCCTTCAC